TCGACTTAGGCACTGCGGGCCCGACCCGAGTGCAAGCGACTTTACCTAGACTAGACTCTCGGAGTTCCTTGCTTGGGCTTGCATCCACGCGTAGTTCGCGGCACGCTAATGCAGAGTCGCCTGGAAAAAGGGGGTGGCGGCGCATTTAGTGTGTGGTCCGTTTCGGTTTTCCTGCTTACTAAGCATTGCGTCACTCTTACCGGCACCCAGCCAAGTACCCACAATTTCCTCCGAGACAGTTAATTGTCCTGACTACCCCACACGAGGCTGAGTGCGAGTGCACACATAGTGCGAGTGCACACATATCTCTCACGCCGATGTAACTAGTTACTCTAGTTAGACTCATTCGTTCTCAGAATTCATGTCATAATTGCATGCACCCTTGACAGCGATCTCCTTCTCCTTCTGTTCAAGGCTGCGCCGTGATAATTGTCTGTGTACTGAGTGTACTTGGGGTCTCATCGTGCCCCTTTTCCTTCTGCCTTTTTTTTTGCCGGTGGTTCCCCAACAGTGTCTGCCTGCCACCGTGGCAGGAACTTTTCAGAGTTTTTCGTCTTTTTGTTTTGGACACGGGATCAATCAGAACCTGGTTCCCGCCTGGTTCGCCGCCTCGTCCTGTTCCACCGAGGGTGTTGCCCGAGGGCTGTCCTCAACGCGCCTGTCAATTCTCACTGACCGTCTTGTTATTGCTAAGCCCCCCCTTCTCTCCTCTCTCGTGACCGGTTCCTCCGTAGTCCGACTTCTTGAGGCTTTGACCGAGACAAGTTCGGTGGTTCGGTGTCGTCGCCCCGTCTCGCCCCTCCTACCACGATCGAGTCATCGCCGATCGACCTCAGTCCTTCAAGGCTGCGGCGATGTGCACCGCGCCCCTTTCACTGACGGCCTCAGCAAAGGCTCTGCCTTCTGCCATCCGGGTCGCGTTGATGTCCGCATTGAGGCGCGGCCTCCCTGCCCTTTTTTGTAGCCCTGGTCCTGCCTGGCATGATTACAACACCGGAACCCTTCTTCGTCGCCTCGCCAACCACCTTGTCGTCCTCCACCCTTACACTGCCCCGAGTCCGCGCCGGGCCTCTTCTGTTTCTCCATCCCATGGCCTGCATTCCGCGAAAGGCTGAGACCGATTGTTCAGCCCGGCCACGGGGGTTGGGGGGCACACTTTGTTTGGTTTTCAATGCCCAGTAGTCAGACAGCAGCTGACCGAAGTCCCGCGCCCAAGAAGACTGTTAGAAGTTTCGTATGTGTTTGTAGCTTGATCACGCTCCACAAAGTATAGACTCGATGACTGGAGGGGTTGGTGGGTTGTTATTTCCTGCCAGTGCGTGCACGGGCTATGTGTCGTCTCCAAGGATCAAGTCCATCGTCGCCCCCCAGCCTTCAGGCAAATTTGAGGCCCGGAAAGAAACATGGATCGTCGTCGTCGTCCGGCGCCTCTGCGACCTCGTTCGAGGCTTCCAGTACGTCTTCCAGGGTTGGCCCCACTTTTTTGGCACGCATATCTGGCTGCGCCGCGTTGTACAGATCTTCTATCGTCTGCCTGTGAGCGTCCTCCGCCGTCGCATGGTAAGGCGTGTGAGAACCCATCGGGGTCGTGGACGACCCGCCTGCGACCTCCTGGGGTCCCAACGGGCTTGCCGGATAATGGTTCACGGTGGTGGCAGGCCAAACTGGCCATGTGTTGTTGTACTGCATGGGAGCGTTCATCTGCATGGGCTGAGCATTCGTGTGCATCGGAACGTCCACCGGCCGCTGAGTCTCATACCAAGGCGTGATCGTGGGCAGGCTAGACCCCGTCGCGGCCCCGGGCTCTCCCGCCCAAACACGTTGGCCACGTAGGTTGTTATAGACAGGGGCCCCGAATGCCTGGTTGTAGGTAGAGTTGACGCCGTTGAACCATTGACCGGGCTGACGGGTCGTAACGACAGGTATACCAGTCTGGTTCGGCGGCCAAAGGATTGGCATGGCGGGTGACAAAGACGGAAGTGAGGTTGTCAGCGCTGTTGCGACACCCGAGTCCGAGAGAATATGTAACAAGTTGCTAGACGCCTGGCCGCCGGTAAAGTCGTCTCGTGGGGTGAGTTCGACGCCAAATCTGAGCGTACTGGAGAAAAACTTGGGCGCTTCATTTAAATAGATCCCGACACCCGTTGGGAGCCCGTTGGTCCAGTGCCGGAACACGCGTGTCTCTCTAATGGCGGACATGGGGTACTGAATCATGAGCCAGCTCTCGGTGCCCGCGATAGAGTAGTTTATAGTTTGTGTGTCCGGCGTTCGGGCAACGATGACATCTGCCGACTCCCAGGTGCCAATTCGAAGGAGGCGGCATGCCATCCGGCGCACGGACGCTGGCGCGATGTATGTTGGACTTTGTGCGGCGGACTTGTCTTGCCCCGTCATCAGCGTAGCAGCATCATCCTGCGGCGTCAGGGGCATCCGAAGTCCGCTCGGGTTCTTCCGTTTCTCCTTATGTCGTCTGCGGCGATGTTAGTCGCGCTTTATCAAATTCTCCGACACGGGCTGTGCCGCCTGCATACTTGTTCTGGAACCAGCTGAGGACGCGGCTCCCGTCCAACCCCAGCTCCTTGGCCATCTTTTCTCGATCTTTTGCTCTAGGGAACATATCTTCTGCAAACCTTGCCTCGAGAAACGCGAGTTTGCCTGCCGAGAGATGCTTTTTGGAACGTTCTGCCTGCCCATGTTCGTCTGCAGGCTCCAACTTCCGCTTGCCGCCCGCCGGCGGCTCCGGCGGCGTAAGGGGGGGCTGCCGGTTGAGCGTGTATGGCGTGGCAACGCCTAACGCGGACGACGCGGGAGGATCGAGAGCGGTGACATCCTCACACTCGACCTCGTGGGAAGATAAATTCCCCGAAGAGTGGGGAGGCGAAGGACGTAGTTTGCCCGTGCTGCTGTGGGCCACGCGAGTGTTCATGTTGGCGACCTTGGAGTTGCGCGTCGCGTGGTGTTCCTGCGTCGTAGAATGGCAGGTCTGAGAATTGGACGTGGAGCCTTTACGTCGTGCATGGAAGAGACGCGCGAGACGAAAGAAGAAAGGAAGTTGGACAATAGCAGGAAGGAAAAAGAAAATGGAGGAAAAGAAAATGGAGATCGGGGCTGCCAGGGTGTTGGGGAAAAAGGAGATATTTCGAAGCAGAAGAAGAAGAAGAACAATGGCAGCGAAGGGAGAGAAAAAGTTGGGGGGCAGACCGCAAGAAAGCCACGCAGTGCAGACAGAAAGAAGAGGCTGGGTAAATTAGAGAGAAGACCGACGTAGTACAGAGCAGGCTGCAGGTAAAACAAAGGGGAAGGGATTTTTTCGCCACGTAAGGCGTCCAGACCCAACCTCTGACCTCTGAACAATCCAATCCCAGGACGCCACGAAACACTCCCCCCATGGGCTCTACGCCCAGGAGTGTCGTCCAATTGGTTAGTTAATCTACTCGACTCTCCATTGGTCCACGTATTGGTTGGGCATAGGATTGGCACGCCGACGTGCTGTGCTACCGAGTGCATCATCCTGCAAGTGTGAGGCAGACATGTGGAAATTGATGCGACACAAAGGGCGGCCTGACCGAGCCTGAATCAGTTTGGGGGCAGAATGAAATTTCTCTCACTTTGTGACGTGTCATCTTGGTGACTGCTGTACATGGTCTTCCGACAAATGACACCCCCAATCGGTCTAGTCCTCTACACCAGCACACCGCTCCAGTGGTAAACTTGGCGAATTATGCATTGCAACGTGGCACTGTATGAGGGTGGTTGCCTAGCGGATCAGCGCCCTACCCCTGAGTACTCGCCTGGGAGGTGTTGGAGCCTCACTTTGGGCGCAGCGAGAACAGTGCCAAGAAAGTCATGGCGAGGGCTGGAGAGGGCTGGCCATCAACTGCACTTTGCCTCAACTCGACCCTGCACCCCTCGTACCCCTGCACCCCAAACGCCCCGAACGCCCGAACGCCCGAACGCCCTAACACCTCTGCACCCCAACGCCTCCCTCTGTTCCGGCCTCGAATGGTAGAACCATGGCTCAATGTCAAAGAGCTCAATCGTCTTATTGGATGCACCGTTTGTGCCGTGGTTGCCTTCCTTCCTAGCGCAGCCCAGGCCTTGGGGGCAGAGCCGCACACTGACCAAATCTCATAGGTCAATCAATCAATCAATCAAGGAGGAGAAGGGGGAGAAAAGGGGTTTCCCCCAAGCAGGTTGTCTCGGTGGAGGCTGTGCAGTGCTGCTGTACCACCATGTCGCGCCCGTGAAACCGTGAAACCGTGGTAGGAGCTCACTCATTCGTCGCTCAGGGATCACGGGGACCAGTCAACCCCCCTCCCGAGTCGGTCGCGCCCTAGGACAAACAGGCGATGAGTAAGGGGGCTGAGCATTGCCAGCGTGGCCATTGGTAGCCTAGCGTGATGCAAAAGTTCCTCTGACGTAATTCTTGTTTGCCAAGCGTTGGCGAAAGTCCCCCAAAGTTGCCCCGATTCTCAGGAGGTGCCACACGTCCTGCACGCGTCCTGCACGCGTCCTACTCTTCATCCTCCTCAAGCTCGCCTCTACCTCTACAGCAGCTCAGCCACGGACAAGGACATCAAACAGTGACCGCCTTCCCAACAAAACGCACGGATCCTTCACCGCTTTTTTCGTTGCCCTTTCCGCAGCCTGGTCGAGACTGGTGCCTAACAATCCCCCCTGGCGGTGAAGGTGGAGCCATGAAAATTCAGATCAACCGTCCAGCATTACCCTGGCAGCGCGCCAGGCGTTCTGGTGGTCATGTAACACAGTTGTTTTGGCGTCCATTCTGGCAATGCGGCTCTGCAAGGCAACAGCTATTCGACTGTCCGTTGCGTCGTACTTGTGTGTTGTCCTACCACCACATTTTTCATTGCAGGACCCCCTGCTGTGCCTACGAAGTCGTACTTGGGCGTTGACCTGCCACCTTGTCTTAAATCGTTGATCTCTCCTGTTGTGTCTACGATGTTTTCTTCCACAACCCTCCACACATTTCTGAGCCAATGGCGAGTCCTCTCGAGGAGCTTCTCACAGCGGCGGCAAATGACCCCGACAGAGACGTGCAGCCCACGTACGACTTTGTCGGAAACCTCTGTTACCGTACCAAGGGAGAAGCCGACCGACCAGCTGGGCTCAAGACCATTCTGGAAGGGCTCTACTTATCCATCACGACAGAGAACTATGAACATGCTGAAAGGTGGACCGACGCCCTCGAGGTCTGGATGACTCTGGAACACAACGTGCCGCGAAAAGTGCGTGTAGCGTTGGTCAAGATATACTACGACTTGGCCTTGACGCCCGGTATGGATTCGAGTGCGGCGCAAGTGTTTTGCGACATGGTTCCTCGCCTTGTCAAGTATGTTCAGCTTTCCTGGATTTTGAAGTTCCTTTGCAACACGGCTAACCCGCGCTGTGCTGTGACAGCAACGTCGAGGGCGAACTCTGTCTCGACCCAGGAAAAGATCTCACCCTGGATTGGCGGACGCTTTTCGAACGATTGAAGCACGACTATCTTCGAACCTACAGCACCATTCTGAATCCAATCGACTATGACGACCTCGCCCTCGTCGCGCGATACTTCTTTGATCCAGGGGAGAGGCTGGCGGTGGCCGAGGAAATTCTGCCCTACTTCGACACGGGTGATTCTCAGGCCGCAGTTAGGGCAGTGATTATGATGGCGTTGATGTCTCCGACGCAGCCTGCTCCAGAAGCGTCCTCGGACTGCCAGCCATCCAGTCTTTTACCCATGCACTTTTCTCTCTTCGCCAAGCTGTTCCGGACGCAAGTCGCCACCGAAGTCCTGATGCGGATCGTGTCACCACTCGCCCAAAATCACTTGACATGCAAACATGTCCCCTTTGGGGCTTTTGGCATTTTCGACGAGATGCAGTCCCGCGAGTTATTTGCCGCCATCTCGAGACTCGCCCTGATCGACGACAGGAGATCCGACGATTCTTTCCACGACGGGTCTCTCTCTTGGCACCGCCGAATGAGGGCCGCTCGGAACGCTGCCGATTGGATCGTCTTCTCGCTCTCACCCCTGTGCTCTGAGAAGCAGAACTCAATGTTGTCGGGCCTGGAAAGCCTCATCGCATCCATCACCGTCTTGTACCACCCCAATTCCACCATACTCGCGCAGTTGGACTTTATCACCAACCTCCTTTGGTACATCATTCACAGCTTCTGCAAGCGATACCACCGAGAGCAGAGCGGGGAGCTCGATACCCCGGCGGAACGGCGAATCAACGACGAGTTGAGAGGAGCGTTTGTCCGTTTGCTGAGAGATCCGATTCTCGCGGGCTGCTTCTCCATGTGCTCGGACACCCGCTTCAACTGTAGCAATGCCGTCAAGCCGCTGGCCGACCTCGAGCCAGGTCTCATCATCCCGACCGCCCTGCAACGCTTCTACGCCAGCCATGACAGCATGGTCGACGGCGACGCGGCGGAATTTAGCATGCGGCTCTTGGTGGTGCTCGGCAGCACCATTGCACGGGAAAAGGGACTGCGATGCCACCTGCCACACCTCATGAATCTCGCCCTCTCCGGCATCAACGCAAGCCGCCCGGATCTGACCAGGGCTAGCTGCCAGTTCATTCGGGTGGTGACTTGCGACCCCCCGGCTCCCCATCTCCAATTCGCCAAGCCGGGCACGGGCAAACCCAAGCATCCTGATGCGGCCAAAGCCTGGAAAGCCTGGATCAAGGGTGAAATCGAACGCCTGAACGATGGGGGTTCTGTCATCGATCTGGACTATCGCAAACAACTCTCGGACGAGGAAGAGATCGACCTGCTTCAGTCCGGCTTCAGCAGCGTCGAAGACTTCACCTTGCGGCTCCTGAAATGCGTGTTCAAGTTTGCGTCCGACGCCTTCCACTCCGACTTCGTGGCCGAGCACGCCACCGGAGCAGACCGGAACGAGGCTGAGCTGGATGTCCTCGAGGCGGTGCTGTCTTGCTTTATGTCGTTGCCGCCCGAGATGCTCGAAGAAGCCATGCTGGCTCTGAGCAAACATGTCTTGTCAGATCCCATTCCCGAAGCAAAGAATCTGATTTCATCAATTGTCGTGTATGCTGTGCGAGCCGACCCGAAGAGCGGCCTCCGGATACTTCTGCCCGCGCTGGTCCATCGTATCCATGACATCATCAAAGAACACTGGATCGAGCCGAGAGTCAAACGTTGCAACATTTTGGCTGCGGACGACTACCTCAACTATCACGTGGAGGTCCTCGGCTTCTGCCTCATGCGCGGCGGGTCCGAGCTTCTCGCCTACAAGGACCAGGTGCTGGAACTCACGCGCTTTGCACGGGATCAGTGTGGGTCACGCGCGTGTGCCCTCTGCGCGAGGCTCAATGACTGCATGGTCACCGGCTTGGTGGAGACCTACCCGATGACGTGTGCGGTCACTTATGATGGCCAGGGTGAGGTGGCGACGACGGCTGTCGCATGGCACACGCCCTCACCCGACGAGCTTCGAGCGGCCTGCGAGGTGTTCACGTCGGAAACAGTCTGGCTTGGAGAAACGATAGATGCCCTGATGGAAGATTACCCCACTTCGGCCAAGGAGCGTGGGACCTGGGGCCAAAGCCTCACCCAGGCCGTCAAGTACCTCAACAACATTCTTTGCGGCATGTCGCCCGTGTTCGATCCAGGCCGCGAACCTGCTGCCGGCGGGAACGTCGGCAACCCCTGCGACGAGAACGCCAAAGGCGAGGCCGCGTTGGTCTCGGCGCATGTGCAAGAGTTCCATCGTGTGCTGGAGCCCGATGACCCTCTCTATGACAGCGTTCACCAGCGGCGGCGCGAGGTCGGGTTGCTGGCCGGCAAGATCCACGCCTTCCTCCTCAAATGCGAGGGAGAGCACGCCGAATGCCTGCGCGAGGTGTATAGGCTCTGCACTACCTTGATTGGCGACGTCGGGCGATGCCATACGCATCGGGACGCACGAGAGCCCCGCAGGGACCACAAACGCTGGGCGAAGCGCTTGGACGTCGAGGGACGCGCGCCAGCGCATCCGCCGGCCATCTGTGTCATGCTCATGGAACGCTACCATGAAGAGATGCAGGAATTTGGAACCGGCTACCGCCACATGGGTGATCTCGAGAGGCGGGTGCTCGAGGACGTGACCGAAGGCTGCAGCTCCCCGTACGAGAGTGTCCGCAGCGCGGGGAGATACCTTCTCGTCCTCGCGAGCGAGATGCTGGTAGATTCTGCCAAGTTCTTTCTTCCTCTGATGCTGGCCAAGGTGCGCGATCTCATCAAGAGCGGGAACCACCGTGGGATCGAAGGCGCGGTGCAAACGCTTGTCTGGGGGATCCCTCTGTGGAAGCAGCATTGTCCCTCCCTACTTCCCCATCTGCTCGGCATTCTGGCAACAACAGCCGCAATGGATGTGCCTCAAGTGGCTGGTATTGCTGCCGTGGCAAAGGGGGGCTTGACATACATGGGTTGCCCCAAGTTCCGTGGACGGACCGTTTTCCCCAGGGACGGCATCGCGGAATCCATCCGACCTGCCGGGGACTTTTCAGACCTGGCCGTGAGGGCGCACGAGCTCCAGCGTCAAAACAAGGACGAGGTACTGCAGAAGATGGAGGACCTCGGCGTCGACTTGTTGAGGATGAAGACGGACCCGCAGCTCTGTATCCTCGCCATCCCGGCCCTGATCCTACCGAGCTTCGATCCGCCTCCGGTCGAGCTCCTCTCCTTTCTCGCAGACAATGCCGTCGCGGCAGACGCAAAACTTCGTCACCCGTGCATCAGTATGCTCGGTGAGGTGGGGAACATGTTCCTACTGGGGATACCCTTTGCTCACGACCTTGAACACTACATCCGCACGCAGGGCTGCGGAGGAGGCGACCTGGTCCAAGTGGTCCCCAGCCGGGATGTGGCGTGTGCGGAGCAATACCTGACCGAGTATGCAAAGCTCGGCGACGGCGATGACAGTGGTGACGGCACCTTTTTCGATCCTTCCTCCTATGGGTCGCTCGTGTGGCCGGCTCGGTTCCACGCCTGGCGCAAAGACACGAAATTGCCCACCGACGACCCGGAGATGGCGCGAAAGGCTGCATGCATCGGATCTCTCTTTACCAAAGAATGGTTCGAAAAGTTCCTGTCCCATTTGAAGCTGGAAGAAGAGCCCTGGGAGGGAGACAAGAACGGCCAAACGCCAGTGATCTGGTCAAGCAACTATGGACTCCTGATCCATGTCTTCCGGCTGATGGAACTTGGGGCGACGGCCGCCAAGCTGGAGGACGTCGAAGATCTGGTCAAGACGGCCCTCGAGGACGGCACAAAGATAGGCCACCATCTTGCGGCAGCGACCTTGCTCCTCGGCCTCCTGTGGGCCCCCAGGTCCAGCGCCTTCCGGAGCCGAGTATTGAAGACGGCGGAGCCCTTGCTGATCGACATCCTGGAGCACAAGATGTCCCTGGCCGGCGGGACGTGGGCCATGTTTCTGCGCCGGCTCATCAAAAACCGCGACCCACGACGGGTTCCAGGGTTGGTGCGGCATGTCAGTTCCCTCCAGCTCGACGTCGAGGACGCGGCGCCCAATAACAATGCGAAGCTCGATACGATCCAGACTGTGCTTCGTTATCAGGGGTGGCGGTTCCGTCAAGACAACGACGTCTTGTCCATGCTTCTGGGAGCGAAAGATGTCATCACGAACGTGGAGGTCTCTGCCTCACTCGGCACCACGTTGGCGCTCATCTACACCCCGAGATTCCACGATTCGTGGACCGACGTCCGCACCATGATCGCGGCAAACAGAGACGCGTCGTCCTTCGGCATCCGCCCGTATGAGCCGAGAAACGAGATACGGGACACGGTCAGCAAAATATTCGAGAGGGTTTCGGCGCTGCGAAAACAAGAGCCGATCCCTCATCGCGAATACCAGAGCGCAACGTCGGTGGCGCTGGCCTTCGTCTTTGGCATGTTCGAAACCAACGCGTCCGGCGTCCTCGTCCACATGGTCGATCTGATCCTCGACGATCTCTTTTTCATGCTGGATGCCAAACTCCCCGAAAAGTCGGAGCTGGAAGTGCTCGCAACCTCGGCGCTGGAGAAGCTGTGCCGTCTCCCGTTTCGCGGCGACGACGAGCCCGCGGCTTTCTGGAAAGCCATCGTGAACAAGGCGGGAAAATCCGAGCCGATCACCCACCGCAAAGCGGCCATGAGCATGATGCGCGAGCTGTACCTCCGACGACTGTTCACCAGCACGCCGGACGAACAGAGGGGGGCTCTCCAGGCCGTGAGCGACAAGATCCAAGATTCCGATTCGAAGATCCACACCAAGGCCGCAGAGACCCTGAAGCACCTGCTCTCTCGCAGTCGCCTCACCGTGACGGGGCCCATCATCAACGACATAGTCGACCACAGCGTAGAGGCTCTGCGAGCCACGGCGATCAAGGACAGCGTGCGTCTGGCCGCGGTCTGGAGGCTGAGCGCCACGGTCTCGGCGTACCCCCATCTGATAGAAGCGCCGAAATGGATGGAGAAGGCGATGACGAGTCTCGTCCACGAGGCCCAGCTGCACAGCAGCCTCTCGACAAACATCGCCAGGACCACGGTCCGGGATTTCAAGGAGGCCAAGCGGACACAATGGGAAACAGTGACAAAGGTGAGTCGACTCAGTAGTCGACACTTCCTCCTTCCAGACTTGGAGCTGCTGCTGGGATGCAGGCGCTAATTTCTCGCCCGCAGCACTTGCCGGAAAAACTCGTGCTCGAAATGCAGGAAATGATGGGACCGTCCTACTACGCCTAGAAGGCTTGACCAGACGACCCGAGGGGGGCAGAGTCCTGACTTGTCGAGGTGGCATGACAGGCCACAAAAGGAGTGGCAGCGGCCGGGTTGTGTTGAGCAACAGTGGAAGAAGGACGAGACCCCGGAATGAATCCCTGAATGAATGGACCCCAGAATGAATGGACCCCAGAATGTGCACCATACCATATCTCTTTGTTTCTCCGAAAGTGGCCCAAGGCGAAGGAAGTTAGGGACGATGAGAAGAGCGCCTTCACCGTCACCGGGGGCGCTATGTAGCCCGAACCCGTTCTCCTACCCGTGCGGCATTAGGGCGCAACGCACGGTGGACTGTTCGTCAATTAGCGTTTCCCAGCCAGACAGACAGACGTTCTCAAACTGGATCTTCTTCTCCTTGGTGTCCCTCCTAATCCACACTGGTACAAAAAATGGTTCCACTGCTTGCGGAAGCCTCAAATGGTGGTCCATGGAGGTGAGCCAGGCCTACGGTACGCAGCTATCATCAAGACCCCCTAGTGGCGGCTCCTTTACGGAATCTTTAGGGGGTCGAGACTGTGTTTTGGACGTTTGGTTGTCCTGGACAGAGGACTTTGGCTCGGGGTTGTTTGTGCTTACCCCATATCTCTCGCACGCCCGCATGCCCGACGGACAATCACCGATCGATCATGAGTTGCTGGCGCTTTTATTGGAACAAACACGTAAGCAAGCGGCTTTGAGTTGTTCTCTTCCTCCCTCTCTCTCACTCGTCCGTCGGAGATGAAGTTGCGCTTCCACAAGGTCTTCTGTCTCCTTCTTTCAACTGCTCGAGCACGCATGGCCGACAAATCAGAACGGTTCCGCACCTGTTGCCATGGCATGGCATGACGCTCCACGTGCAGATTTCGAGTTCAATTGGCCGGATTGGTCCATCAAGGTGGATAATTCAATCTCGTACGGCGTCAGTCCTGTACTTGTCCGAATCGATGTCCTGTCGGCCGACGGAACTGCATCAAGGTGGTCCGAACAATCACTCTGGTTTTCCGCTTTGCAGACAGACTTTGGTGAGGGCATCTCTGATTGGCTTGTGGCTGACCTCGACTTGGCCGTTCGCTGGGGGATGGTAATGCAGACGCTACCACCTCGGCGGATGTTGTATTTCTCTGCAAGTCCTTTGACCAGATCTTCATTCTCGAGCCCGCCATCAACAACGAGATTCTGGCAGATACTGTGTCGACAAACCATCTCTTCACCCAGTGCTTTGAACGAGCGTGGGTGAGCTGAACTCGAAAGGACCTTTGCAAACATTCCGGTATTCGCTTTCTCGAGGGCGCGAGATTCCGTCCATCGAGAGTAGATCACTGTTTGCCTGAACAAGGGAATGATTTCCATGGACGAGCGAGGGAGGCATGTGAACAACGTCAAGGTTCACTCGTTGCCATCGGATATCAACCCATGTCGGTTTATTTCATTTCCTCTTCCATCCGCAAAGAGGCACGCATTTGACATTCATGACACGATCGGGACGGCGCTCTCAACGTCTTTCCACATGGTTTCCCCAGAAATATCGGTCTGCAACACATCGTCGATAAGTGCTTTCTCGACCGGCGGTGGGCCACTATCATCGTGCATCGCTTGCATGATGAGGCGTCTGTGCCAAGCATCATCGAAGACGCGACGAGCTGGATTCGTTCTGTCCGGACGTCGAAACAAGTGACCACCTCGCTCAAAGTGCCGCAGTGCGTCTTTTCGGAACTTGTTATGCTCGGGTATTGTCGTTCCTTCAAGTCTCCGGGCATCATTCAGGAGGAATTCCGCAATTTAGCATGGTCGTTGGCCATATTCGTCTGCTTTCATCTCTGGTCCGGTACTCGACTCTCCTTCCATAGCGGTTTCATTGACAATCACACCCCGGCGTTGGGATTGTGAACCTTCAGCGTTGTCAGAGGAGACGCGAATGGACATGAGTCGTACGGAACTCGGGTGATTCGACGCCCATTCATCAATGTCCTCTTCTTCTTGCAGCTCCGCGCGATCTGCATCTATCGCAGGGCGTCGAGAAAGTGCATCTGCGACGACGTTCTTCTTTCCTGGCACACGTTTGACTTCCAAATCGAACAATCGGATCCAAGGAATCCACTGAGTAACCAGTGCGCCAGGGAGATCCGTTGCTGAGCGATTCAATTCCGCTGCCGGCGTCAAAGCGTCCACCTCAAGGCGGACATGTACTCCATATAGCGAGTTCTTGAATGTCTTCAACACCTTCAGCACTGCGCGACATTCTCGTTTATCGGCGGCGTATTTGCTTTCAGAACTGCGACCATATGCCTGGAAACTCTCGAATCTGGCCGGCCGGCCTTTGTTCCTTTGGGTTTCCTCTTGTGAACTGGGACATTTGGTTCGCCACCCCATCCAAACAAACTTGCGTCGGCTGCAACGATGATGAGTCCTGTGCCTGGGGTGTGTGTAATCGAGGTAAACAGCGCCGGTGGAGTTGTTGAGGCGATCTTGGGTTCCCAACCACCTTAGTCCAGTCCCAAATGGCGCTCTTTTTCAGCAACATGCAATAGACCTTGACTTTGAAAGCGAATCAATCAATCCAAACGCGGTAGAACGCGCAGATATCAAGGAAACCTCGCAGTTCCCTGGGAGTTGGCCACGTCACAATCTTCTCAATCTCGCTCGCGTCGGCGTGTCGACCAAACCTGTCGCAAACATATCCCACAATCTTCACGCCAGCCATGCAGAACGACGCTTTCGCGCCAGAGACGGTTGCGCCAGCCCTTTCGATATCGGCAAAGACTCGATCAAGGTTCTGTATGTGCTCGAGAACGAACTTGCGAATACCAGGCGCAATAATAGCGTTGTCAGAATCGGTCCTTGATTCCTTTCGTCGCCATGTCGTCGAGGAATGGTCACGCCCTGTCGGGGATCCAGAATCTCGTATGAGATGCGCATAAACTGGGAAACCGAGTTGGTCAAGCCATGCAACAGCGTCGTTTGCCGAAACAGTCCAACTGGTGTCTGAATGCCTGTAATATCTCGACAATGCTCCGCGAGGGACACCTGATCATATCCTGAGAACCGAATCAATCGACGAAATCATGTGCATTCCTGCAAATTCTTCAGAAGACGCATCAGAAGATGGCGGTGATCCTGGGCCTCGGACTGTAACTTTGTTCGAGTTCATGACGGTATTGATCGATTGGTGTTTGTCGTCCTTCTTGCCCACAAGGAAGCCACGAAGCCTGGTTCGAGTATGCCTCGGTCCCGACTCTCCTGGATGATCTTGACAAATTCAGGCTCAAGGAGGGCCTTTGGCACGTTGAAAGGTGTCGCTTGCCATGGCACATTCATGATCAACCACTCGGATCTCTTCTGGTGGTGCCGCTTCTTCTTTCACACGACCGATCTCGCCCAAGGTCCACGAAAGGGCGATTGTCGAGTCGTCCAGTTCAACATCTTCTCATGTCGACTGTTGATTCGCGTCCACTGTCGCAACGTCGCTTCATTACACCTTCGAGAGATCCTCCAGCGAATTCTCCTGATCTGTTTACCGTCAAGCCATTGAGTAGGCTTAAACAGAACTCTCTCATGTTTCGTTTAATCCACAAGACGAGTCCGACTGTACAGGTGCCGTCTGAATTCCACTTGATCGTCTCTCGCGCACCTTGTTGATACGGCGTTCCAAAAATGAGCTTGTCCTCTAGATCAATGTGATCCGCAACGAAGAAGGGGGCACCAACTTTGATGCCCATCAGTTCAACTTCGACATTCGAGACGAGGCCGATCAAATGGTTTCCATTCGCCCTTGAACGAGATCGCGTCCCCTCCTCCTTGTTCTTCGATCGGCATGCATTGCCAATCTCTCTCGCGCTGAGTCGAGACTCATGACGTTCACTAGCGCGCCTGTGTCCATCCATGAGAGCGTTTTCGTCTCCTATACTGAGGTCCAGCAAGGAGAGCTACGATCCACACTCTCTTGCCGAGCGGAGATAGTACTGTGATGTCCACTGACGGTGAGGGGGATTCCCCGTTTTGTTGGAACACACCGTTGATGGGCGTGGCGATGAGATTTGGCCAGGCTTTGATCGGTCATTCGCCTCGATATTCGACAAGTTGAAACTTCCTCTTGCCGTCCGCCCATGCGGATGGAATTGACGACAGGCGCTTTCCCTCGCGTTTCTCTTTCGACACGTGTTGAATACGCATCGTTTTCTTCGTCCATTTCCCATTCACGTTTGCGAAAGATCAGGAGATCCTCCGAGTCGCTCTCCAAGCCAGGCGGGATATCATCGATTCGCTGTTCCAGTCACTTCTCAGCAAGTCTCTCTTGAACACATTGGCCGTTCCGAATGCTCTTCGAAACAGAAAGGTTTGCCTCACTTTCCTTCCTCGCTTTTGAGCATTCCATGTGATCTCCAACCTCCCCGCCAGGCTCCAAGTCTGTCCAAGTGTCACAACCGCCGCCGACATTATCGCATCCACCAAACCTTGATTTCCCGCCATGTGCTGAAGCCATCGACTTCGGCCTCACGAGAACCGTTCTTCTCCTTCGGTGCAGACGGGCTCGGAGACCCCGGGGTCAGAAATAACAGAGGACATTCAGAGGGGCGTGTTCACATAACCAAAGCGGAGGACCAATTTGTAGCCGTCCATCCATGGCTGGCGACTACCAACTTGTGGGTAGGCCTTGCTTGACAATGGGTCCTTTCCATGGCGATGCCGAAATCCGAACTGGTATTGGGGGAACAGGGGCGAGGGGCGAGGATGGAGACGACGACGACACCGCCGGGTGCGCGCAATCAGGCTGGCTGTCACTCGTTCGACGCGTCGTTTCTCGTTTCAGGGCGGTTGGGGCGGTGAGTCTCGACTCGACTCGAGTCGACTGCCGGCGTCACCCTTTAACATAGTAACACGTCCTGGTCTGCCGTGTCTTGCCATGTCACACACAAGGCGGTCCCTTTTGTTGGTTTGGCTTCTGATTCACCAGCTTTTGCCCGCAGCTGTGTCATCCCTGATACGACCCTCCGGGTTTATCCAGGACCCCATGACCAGAGGACACCGCATCCAGCCTTCGTGGTCGGCCGTCCAGGTCCGATCACAGCAGGAGCCCGACGCGTTTCTGGCATGTTCGGAGTAACGAGCACTGGCTGCTGCTCGTTGGTCATGCAGCCGGCGCAAAGTTCCATCTCGGTGTCCGCAGAGATCGGCCACATATCGACGACTCCAGGAACACGCAAACCACTGTCGATGAAGCCGACGCGAGACTCGACCGGCGCTTGGAGAGCTTGCAGGCACAGGGCGCCCTGTATCCGTCAAATTGTCTCGCCTATCTGCACGCCACTGCATAAGGCATCAACGACGCGTCCGGATATCGGGGTTTTGGCTCTCGATACGATGTATCCGGTCAAGATCCTGGTCGACACATTCAGTCATCTCACCGCGATATCCGGGCAGCCCGTGCTCGGGGATTCTCACGAGAAGGGCGACCATCTTGCTCCGGGAACAGAGAGTCTTGAAGTTGTTCTCGGGCGATGGGTTCCCTAAGGTTGTTTATCACCCACAGGAGGCGTCCGAAGAACACGCGGACGACAGCATCAAGTGGGTTCCTCGGATATGTCTGCGTTTGTACCGTCGTTGCTCTGGGTGACACCGTGTTTCGTCTCACGGACCAATGCTCCGTCAAGCACGATTTGGTGAGATACAAGGCGTTGATCTTGAGCAGATGGTAAGCTGGCCTGCGCCCCTATTGCCCGGCAGCCAAGTTGCCGCAATACTGACCTCACCCAGGAGCACCCACTTTCCAAGCGATCGTGAGCTCTGGCAGGACGCAGCCGATCTTGAGGCCCGAGAAGAGGACGACATCTCTGGTGCAAACGACGCTCTGGGCCTTGTCAAAAGAGACGCCCTGCGACGTTTGCATTCTTTGGCCCCTGGCGCGCTGCTTAGCGGGCCACCAGAATGAGGAGATAGAGGACGCACTGGAATAACTCTTCGAGAGAATCGGATGTAGGTGATGACAGGCCCGCCAGTAAACCAGACAATGAGCTTGGAGAATTCGTTGTTTACCCAGACTCGGAATCGGACACCGAGGACACCCCAGAACCGGCTGTCACTTCCTGTCTAGGCCTACAGGGAGATGACCGTAGCTGTTTGAAAGATTGGCTCGAAGTCTCCCAACTTGTCGCCTTCCCACCATCTTCGGCCAAGAGATCCACGCCAGAATTTGATCCGACTGTCAAAGCCCCCGACAAGAGTACGAAGGATGGAGGCAAAGAGAAGGCCGAAGTTGGGTAAGAATCTCTCGCACGACAACGTACCTGAGCTGGGGCGCTGACTCTGTGATCAACAACAGGCAGATGATCTCCGTCCAAGTGGTCTGCATCCTCTTGTCGTACACTGCAAAGGTCCACGAAATGGGGCCCGAGGGTCCGACTCGACACAAATGTTGTGGAAAATGCCAGGAGCCTGATAAACAGCGTCACAGAGGACGTGGCTCGAGTCGGCCGGCACGTCCATACGCTGGCGTTCTGGGTCAACGTGTTGGACTTTTCCGGAGGCGAGAAGATGCTCGAGCGGTATCGCGCTGTCATTCCGTGGGGCGATGTGGTTGCGTGACTCAACAGTCTCGCAAGAGGTCGTTTCTCTTTCGTGTCGTCAGGTCCGGTACAGGACTCGTCCGATTCCTCAACAGAGCCGAACGTATCTGTCGGAGCTCGATCAAGAATCTGACCAGAGAGCAGAGGAAGAGAGCAAAGGCGGCAAGACGGCAGAGGAAGAAAGCCCAAGACGGCGAAAAGACGGTCCAGCAGGATCTCCTGATAATCGTCCACTGAGACCTTCAGGGACGAAAGAAAATAGAACCCCGACTCGAAAGAGCAGATCACCGGAGTGAAAGCAGACGTCAACGTGGCCGAGAAGCACGACTCCATGGAACCGGCAGCGGACGGCAAGCCCAGCCGAGCGCACACCGTCAAGTGGCGCGGACGTGGTCAAGTCCCCGTTGAGCGTGTTCATACCGCCTCGAGCCAACACTTGTTCAAAAGACACCGAGGCCTTGTGAAGCCATATCGGGATGTTCAGGAAAGGTTAAGCAATAGATCAATGACCAAGTGTGTCTGTTTCTTCGTTTATTGGAACCAGGACTGTCAGAGTGAGTCCGACAACGATAGCAGCAGGCCATGCCATCCACACAGCAACGCCAATGTTGGTACAGAGAGAGAGACGAACCCGCTTTCAAACAAACCGCTGTATGATTCCTTTGGATCCGATATCGACGGACAGCTCCAGCATAATGCACACCCCGAGAAAACTAAGCCGACGTCGTACTTGTCCAATGGCGAGCAGAAAATGGCGTGATACCAAGGACTTTTGCAATACTCAAGAAGACCGTCCCCAAAAGCACCACTCCACGGACGAGTACGACAGGGGTGCGCGCTGACATGTCTGATGGTGATGGGCTGGACGACCGACGCAGATAAGGAGTACTCACTCAGTTCGATTAGGAAGTCAGTCGTACTGACCAATATTCTCAGACCAGTTACCTAACTGGAGGGTGAATGTGTGTACCATGGGATCAATAATGATAGATAACTAGCCTCTGGATGGAGATGTCAACGCGCTTGAAGAATTCTTCAAGATTGACAGGTATGATCCCTCCTGCTATATACACGCGCTAAGCCAGCTGCTTGGCTGTCAGCCTGACTCGCTTGGCTGGCGGCCTGAGCCGAGTGTGCAGTGTCACATGGGTGTTCGTGACAAATATCATCCTGCACCTAGCGTTGAAGATCGTCAACAGGCGCACGACACCACTGCGAATAGAACTCGACGAGAAGCGGAAGCAATGATGATTCATCAGCCTCGGATCCTCAAGACTTCCAACAGCGGAAAGACGAAGGGTGCGCTTGCTGATACAATAGACGATTCGGCTGGTCAAGACGTGGAAGATGATGAGGGTGTTCTTGATAGCTGTAGCGACTTGATGGATGATCTCGGCTATTCAACGACGTCCTAGACCATATGTCCTCAGCATCCTCCAGTTCCGACGTGATCGAAACGTCCCCAGAGATTGACGAGGGTGACAAGAGGGAGCAAGAGTAGGAGCAGCAGCCTGAACCTGTCGAGCACGACGTGAAAAAACGAGACCTAACAAAGATCACGCTGCCACCACCGAGATGACGGAAAATCCTTCCCCTAAGAACACCAGCTCCGGTGATCCAGCTCCTGCGATTGATTCCTTAACAAGCGCCACGGCAAGTAACCATCAAGAATACGAGGAAACGTACCTAGACACGGATCCAGGCAATACCCCCAAACGTGACCTTAACGACGAGTTTGACAACCTCTCGGCAGAACCCCACGCCCGAGAACTATACCGACGATATCTCGAAGCCCGGACTCGTTATCGAACGGGAGACAGTGACGATAGTGGCCGTCACCGATCCCAAGAAGGAGAATCTTGAAGATACCACGATCACCACGATCACTACGAGCCAAAGACGCATCGAGAGAGACAGAGGAAACAGGTGGCGATAAAGAGTAGGCAGGAAGCTTTAGAGGAGAGGAGGGCGGCGGAGGAGAAGAGGATGGAAGAGGACGGAGGAGGAGAAGAGAAGAAGAGGACGAAAGAGAAGAGGAGAGGGCGGAACAGGAGAGGAGGGAAAAGAAGAAAAGGACAAAAGAGAAGAGGGGGAGGGACAAGAAGCAGAAGGAGGCAAAAGCCACCACACATTTTCATTTTCCTTCAAGTCTTGAGCTTTGAACCCAGCCAGGGTGATTAGGTTTTGTTCCGATGGATGGGCAACGGTAACGTCACTATTCCCGTGGGCGGGGAGGATGTAAAGCCATGGGAGATGGCGAAGAAGGAGAAGAAGATACAAACGATCGAAATGGCTGGTGACGTCACCCGAGCAGATCCGTCGCATGACGTGATTCACGCTCCCGCAACTCTAGTCTGCGATCGGCAGGTGGCGAACGACCAGCAACAACAGGACATATCGCGTTGTGGAGAGGATGGCTGGACCTGCACACTGGGACTCGGGTCGGAGGAGGAAAAAGGCTCAGTAAGCGGGACATTGCAACACATGTCATGTCGTATATCAAGTATTGCCTGAATCTATCATTCTCACAGGTTACGTAGGCTGCGTAATGCGCACCGATTCGACCAAGAAATTGAAACAGGCCGTCAAGAGCAGCCAGCGGATGGCACGGGAGGGAAACTGGTGCGCAAACTTTTTTAAGAAAGTCCAAAAAGGGAATGTAAGACGTAGTGCACATACATACGAGCTTGGCCACCCGCGCCGTTAATGGAGACCGAGTGCAACGAGGTGCAATGTGCACCCACCCAGACCATCAGTCAGGCGAGTAAAATCCAAGGACTACAACTACACCTGATCTTTACTCAGGGTAGGGTTGGGGGAACAGTCAACAGCGTTGGATGCAGTGAGTACTTGGTAACTACCGTGCATGTGCCTTTGGTTCAGAATGACGCCTTTTTCGTCGTGGATGGATCCAGTTTCGGCGGTGACACTACTTCCTACTTCCTACTAAAAGAGCCCTCCCTGCAGGGCGATCGTCAGCCTCAAAAACGACTGAACCGACAGGACCGGGACCGTAAGTGTGTGCTGCAAAATACACCGCGGTGCATCGAAAGAACGATAGATCAGATAGCACAGCATGGCGGCGTGCGGCGTGCGACGAGCGGTTCAGAAGCGCCATGATGCATGATGCATGATGCATGGCGTGTCGTGCCCAAAGAGTTCGGATGGCCGTCTGGGTGTTAGAAGTGCCCAGCGTGTCTTGTGAGCCGTCGTGTTGACGCGCCTAGTCAAAAAGGAAGAGTGTTGGATTAGAGGAGAGCCATGGGATCATCAATCGGTTACTCTTGACGAGGGCCACAGTGCACATGGCACACTCGTGGAAGCCCAGCGGCGATCAATCCTAAGCCGAGTGCGAGTGCTCCGTTAGTGACTGGAAAATCATGTGGGCAACAACTTGATTGAGCCTCCAACAAGGCCCGAAACGCCAACAACGCCCAATCACATCCAGCAGGGACTTTTTAGCCGAAAGAGTTGCCTAGATTACAGTCGCCCTCTAACCCAGCTAATCTCCACGAGGGCGACACGCGTAACAGGGTGGTGGTGTGTGTGGGTCAAACACGATAAGGAGAGGCTTAACATCCAGTCAGCGAATGAGAAACGCGCTAGGCCAACACACGCCAACGCCACTAATCAACAACGCGTAAAAGGGGGCGCCCACAACGTATCCACACAAAGACCCAATGAGGCGTTGCCCTTTCTCATGGCTTACCCTGTTTTTCCCCTCAGGTCTCCAGGGTGCGTGGTGCCAATTTGCCGTTCCCAGCCACTGCTGTACCGCCTGACTACCACCTACCGCCCACCTAGCTGGGTGTCAGGGCCTCCACGCTCCTGTCCTCTTTCCCTCGATCCAACTGGCCATCCGGTCATCTCAAACCCAAAGCTGGAGGGACGACTGAGCAGTCACCAGCAATCCACCAGCTTTCCGTCTTTTCTGTCCATCTTCCATCCCACATCATACACCCACGCAAGCACACCAACACATACGGCCTAATCTAATCGTAGACAGACACGCTGGGACACATGGCGTCCGCCCCAAATTGGCTCCTCGCTGTGGATCCCGATCGGAGATCAGGTCTTGGACGGTGGTACATGTAGTTCGCAGAAGATGCCACATGGGTGGTGTACCACTAGCCGTTTGAAGTGTTCGCCGAAACAAGACAAGTGCTGATCCCGGTTTGGACATGCCCACGCGCCGCCCAATGGCCACGGCGCGCTCTCTACCCCCCGGAACTGCGCTTCGTCCAACTCAACCATCCATGTTTCAATCACAATGCCATCCTGGTTTTGCTGTACAACGCCTCGTTCGTTCGTCGTGTCAATCTCCACGAAATGGCATTCTCTCTTCCTTGTTAGCAATTTACCGTCGGACCGCCCATGTCACTCTGGGGTAGATTACCGTGTTACCATCACATGCATGGCCTTTATTGACGAACCAGACAGAGCCTCTGACCCGTACTCGGGGTTTTATGGCAATCGTCCCACTCTCTTCCTTCCTCTGGATTGAACAATTCTTTTTTCCTTTCCTTTTTTCCTCGCCGTTTTCCTCGCCGTTTTCCTCGCCTTGCCACAATTGACCTGGCGCGGCTCACCAGATCAGTCTTTCCTGTGTTATCATCAACCATTGAAACCAAGCCGTTTGTTTCGCCATGGAAGACCAAGCCTTTTTTGATTGGGGCGGCATTGGTGATGGGACAGAGATAGGTCTATTCCTTCCCTCAGCCGGGCTGGATGGGGACTGGTCGATGGAAGGTGTCGATGTCGTCACCGCTCCGACCTGGAACGGCAGCACGGCATGTGACCAGACCGCAATGGATCTCGATGGAGGGGGTCTACTCCTCGCCGTTCAAGCTTCTCTGTCTGGCACCAACGACCACGGACCCACGGAGTCATTTTTGTCTTATCTCGAAGACGACGGCGCATCCTCGGCGCAGGATTCTCGATCCGAAGCGGACGACAGCAACGCATTCTCCGCTCCATCCTCTGCCTTCCAACACATTGAGGACCCGTCCCCCCCTCGATCCGAAGCGGACAACAACGCGTCCTCCGCTCCATCCTTCGCTCCATCCTTTGCCTTCATCAAGGCCCCGTTCCCCCCTCGATCCAAAGCGGGCAACAACGCATCCTCCACTCCATCCTCCGCTCCATCCTTCGCTCCATCCTCCGCTCCATCCTTTGCTCCATCCTTTGTCTTCATCGAGCACCCGTACTCTCGACCCGAAGCAGGCAACAACGCATTCTCCGCTCCATCCTCCGCTCCATCCTATACCTTTATCGAGGACCCGTCCTCTCGACCCGAAGCCGACAACAACGCATCCTCCACTCCATCCTATACCTTCATCGAGGACCCCTCCGCTCCATCCTTTGCCTTCATCAAGGCCCCGTTCCCCCCTCGATCCAAAGCGGGCAACAGCAACGCATTCTCCATTCCATACTATACCTTCATCGAGGACCCGTCCGCTCGACCCGAAGCCGACAACAACGACGCATCCTCCGCTCGATCCTATATCTTCATCGAGGACCGACCCGACGTCCACTATACCGTTCCGTCCTCCGCGCCACCACCATCCTCTCGGCCCACAGCCTACGACCAGATAACATGGGCGCGACCTCTTCAACAAGACGACACCGACGAGATCATATCGTTGGGAAAGAGTCAATTACCCGAGAAGCGTGTCCCCACGGTGAAGATGTACGAACGCAACGCCACTCCAAACGCCGCAGACGGCATGTATGATTGCGAGTATTGTGAGGAGAGGTTCCCGCGCGCCCATGCTTGGAAGTAAGTTAAAAAAGCCTCTTACTCTCTCTCTCTCTTTTTGGAAAAAACTCTCTCCAAATTGAAAATGCAATCAATGCAAGAAACTCACCAGAAGATCTAGAAAACACATGGACAAGCACGAGCGCCCGTACAAATGCACTTTCGAGGGGTGCACGAACCGCGACGGATTTTCAAGCCCGTGCGCCCTCATGCGTCACCACGAACACCTCCACCTCAGAAAGGTCCAGTGGTTCTGCATCTTCGAGGACTGCGAACGACACGAACGCGGCTTTCATCGGAGCGACCACGCCTGGAGGCACGAAGAGCGTGTCCACAACTACTACCGACCGGATCCCGAGGAGAGCATTTGCAAGTGGTGCAAGCGGGGTGAAATCACCGGCAAACGGCCGACGAAGAGGAGGAGGACCACCACCACCGAGAAGGACAAGGACAAGGCCGAAAGTCCCGCGGAACAGTGGGTAATCGATGACCGTGAGGCCGCCGCAACAACCCTCGAGGAAAAGATTCAACATCACAAGAAAGAGTTGGAGAGGCTCACCGGAGGATTGCTGCGAGGAGTCCCGGATGCTTAAAGCCATGTCCTGATCCTGAACTGCGGCGAGGCGGTCGGATAGTATGTCATGTCATCGGCCAGGGGCCCTGTCTTGGGGCTTCGAGGCGCGACGAGGTTTGGTGGCTGGATGAGACTCGTACGTCTGGGGCCGTATTTCCATGGACAGGTCTCGCAACGTCGTCGTCGTTATCGTCATGTTCTTCTTCTTCATTCTTCCAGGTACAAGGGAATGTAGCCATCATCTTCTGCAGCAGCATCGACTCGTCCGGCGATGATCACTTGTATGTTATAGCAGTAATACACTGTCGGCAATGATCTACCTCTCAGGCCCTCTCCTACCTACCCTCGCGTGACCGGTCGACCTGTATCTCTCGCTGTGTAGAGCTCTCTCCTCTCCTCGCTCCGTGGCTCGCTGTTCGACACACACACACTCTCCTTTGTAGAGCTTGGACCGGACCGGCTTTCCAATCCTCGTCTTCCGGAACAAAGTGTTCGTGGCCCATGCTACTTCTGACCTGAATAGAGAAAAGACAAGTCGGCGTGATGAGTGGCATGCGCCATGAAACATGACCGAACCCCTTTGTCCTGGGATCACAGAGGAGTCTTAGTCTTAGATAGGCGCCGTGACTTGTGGGTAGAGCATGATGAGCATTTGGGTTTAGTAGCCACTTGGACCGGCGCTGTGGCTTGTTCCTTGTGAGTAGAGCACGTCCACGTCCCCGTATCTATTTCCTCGTCCTCGTTGACATCCATGTCGAGTTCGAGTTCGAGTTTCTCGCCCGGGATCGTCATTGAGAGATTGCGAAGGGAGGGTGAACTTGATCTTCATCTTCTTCAGCCCATCGATGCGTGGACATCAGATCAGAGTCGGGCCCTGAATCTGGATCTGGATCTGGATCCTTCCGAGCTAGGCCGCCGCCGTAGTGAGCCGCCCGGTGTCTGCTGCCTGCTGCCCTGGTCAGCGTAATCTCCAGAGGGATTGTAGGACCAGTCCAAAGTCAATGCATTCCCTAGCTGGATTATAGGACTATACCCGTCCAAAGTCAATGATCATCTTCTTGAGCTCCTCCATCTCCTCCCCCTTTTATCCAGCTTTATCCAGTTGGACTGTAGTACCCGTCCAAGTCGATGATCATCTTCTTCATCTCCCCACCACCCCTTCATCCAGCTGGGTTGTAGTACCAGTCCATGTCAATGATCATCTTCTTGATCTCCTTCCTCTCCTCAACCCCCCTTCATCCAGCTGGATCGTCATACCAGTCCAAGCCAATGATCATCTTCTTGACCTCCTCCCCCTTTCATCCAGCTTTATCCACCTGGTTTGTAGGACTCGTCCATGTCAATGATCCTCTTCTTGATCTCCTCCCTCTCCCCCTCTCCATCCACTTGGACCGTAGGACCAGTCCATGGTCAATGATCCTCTTCTTGAGCTGCTCCCTCTCCTCTCCCTCTTTTATCCAGATGGATTGTAGTACCAATCCAAAGTCAATGATCATCTTCGTGATCTCCTCCCCCCCGCCTTATTCAACCTCTTGGTTTGTAGTACCAGTCCATGTCAATGATCATCTTCTTGATCTCCTTCCCCTTCATCCCACTTTATCCTCTTTTCCTTCCCCTTCCCCTTCCCCTTCCCCTTCCCCTCTCTCGCATTCTCTTCTACCTCCCCGCATCCTACTCCGTCTTGATGAGGGCTATGCCCGCGACTCGGAGATATATTGGCAGTATGTTTCCCAGTCCACCAATTCCATTTTGTGCAAGAGGGTTCATCCGATGTGTCGGGAGTAGTACCCCATCTGCTTTTTAGCCAGACGTTGCAAGCCGCCGCTCCCCTCAGCTCGGAGCCCGAATGAACCAGATCGTGATCAATTTCGTAGAGGTTGAGCCCCTCCTCCCTGGCGAGCGGTACTTGTAGAAGGCTGGGGCTGCGTGTCTGTTCGAGCGGAGGAGGGAAAGAGCTTCACCAGCCGCAGGCATCCCTTGACCGTCGTCTCCAATCGGATTATGATAGGAGGAAGGAATGCACTGGCCTGTCTTCCAAGCTGTCCCCCTCCCCAGTCTTGACAGCACGCAAGAAGAACCAGAAGCGTGTATCTCTCTGCGTCCATCAACTCGTCTTGACACTGGTAGAGTTTCCCTTCAAGGCCAGGATAGAATTCTGCCGAAGCTCTTCGTCGGGTTGGGGAAGGTCTTGTTCAGTGGTGCATGTTGGGAGGGAGGGACAATCCAGGTTGCGTAGGCCGGAATTGACGGTTAGCCTCTGGCAATTTTGGCACGGTTGTCGTTTATCATAGTTCGCTCTCGGCATTGAGGTGGTAGGGATCACCGTCTTTGTCGTCGTCGCTGGTAGGTAGGGATCGGGGTTGGGCATGCATCGGGCTCGAAATCGGAGAGGAGACGGGGGAAGGGAGCGGTGACAGTTTTGTAATCATCGGTGCGATTTTGAGAGTCCCGCCAGCTTCTTGTATGGAGATTCCAGCGCGTCTTTCTCTTTTCTAATATGTCCTGCCATCCATCGAGGATACCGATATTCTCGGATGGGAGTCGTGTCTTTGTGGCTTCAGGTGAAGCCGTAACTGCGCTCGGTGAATGCGTTGATGTTGGACTCGGTGGAATCAAGCGACGTCCGCGGTCGTGGCGGCTCGATCATTGACCCAGGTCGTGGATTGTCCTGTCCACTCCTCTCTGCGAAGTAAAGGCCAAAGTAAGTCGTAGGGAACCGCGTGTTCTCGGCACAATGAAACCTGCTGGCATCCCTGAAATGGCTGGCTGGCTGCCTGCCTAGACAGACACAAGAACAGGGAATCTTGATGATGTGGAAGGTTGGGGGAGTCGTTTCCTCGTTTCGGAACGTGGACTTTTCATCGAGGGGGAGAAGGGAGGGAAACGGCAGGTTGCAACAGTTGGCCGGGCTGGCTTCGTCGGTCGCAGGAACGCGCAGTATTCAGAGGAGTGAGTGATCAAGGGCAACGAAGGGAGCTGGGTTGGTGCAAAGCGGGCCAAAAAGTAAAGTGGGGCCAGACTCTTGGCCCACGGCATCAACTCGTCCGGCGGTGGGCATGGTGCTGGGCAACGGTCTATCGCACAGCAATAACAGAACAGCATAGAGAGTCCTGATCAGATAATTCCATGACTTGATCATAACTATCTTACTTGATTGATTTCTTAATTTAACAGATGGATAGATCCTGTCGAAGGATCAAGGGAAAAAAAGGAGTCTCGGACCCACTGTCAGAGATCCAGCCAATCAGGAGTCAGGAGTGACACCCTTTACAGTGTACGGGCAAATTATGGCCACAATCACGTTTCAGCCTGTAGACTCCCCCATTACACTGGAAGTCGCATTTACCAGGGGCACATCATCACCGTGAATCGATCAATGACAGCCAAATTCCCCGAAGAAACGTGCCAAAAGGAAATTGGTCTTGAGCGGGCAGATCCCGTGTACCGTAGTTAGAACGCCCCCCTACTGCGGCCGCTCCGGCAGATCAAATGTTGTGCCAGCTCTTTCACTTTCGTCGAGGTGGTTTCCGTCTGCGAAGCGCCGACGTGAGCCCCTTGCCCTCCTCTTCCATCTCCACGTCCACACCCGCCCCGTGTGACATGTAGTCGGACTCGGGCGGCAACGTACGTGGAATAACTTGATTAGCCAAGGAAATCTATATTTGTTGAGTGCCGCAGTGGAGATTATTCGCTTAAACATTCCCGATTAGAGGCAACCCCCTATTCTGGCTAGTCCTGACTCAGTGTAGCGCCGTATCTGACAGCCTCACCGCATCGTTCTATTCTACAAGGCAGAAAGCCAGCAAGGCTTCTTCTTCTATACCCACGCACTTCTACCCAGCATAGTCTACTGGTTTCGGTCTGCAGACAAAACGAAGCCAGCAGCAAGACTTCTTCTTTCACACCCACGCACCTCTGCCCAACATCACCTGCCGGTTTCGATCTGTAGACAGAAGCCAGCAGCAAGGCTTCTTCTTCCATACCGGTGCGCACTTCTGCTCAACGTCGCCCACCAGCCTGAGTCTACTATTGACACAGCCCAACAGGCCTTTCTTTCCACACCAACACCACCCTGCCCTACACCGCCCACAGGTTCCGATCCGCAAACAAAGCACACGCAGCCCTCATGGCTCCTCTTCCCGCTCTACGCAGAAGCAAACGCCCCCCGAAGCCCAGCCAGAAGCGCAAGGAGAGCGGTCGGGTGACCGCCACACAGAAGCAGAGCCGGAAGCGCGAGGCTAGCGGTCCGGTGACCGCTTCACGCAGAGGCGGACGCCTCCCGAAGCGTAGCCAGAAGCGCAAGGCTAGCGGTCCGGTGACCGCTGCCACACAGAAGAAAGCGAAAGTGGTGACAGAGCCCGCAGAAGACACAAGTGATCCAGTTGCACATTGGGCGGCCACGACCCAGTGGCCAACGGACCTTTCCATCATAGCGTCGGAGCGTCCGTCGTCAAGTCGTCATTCCTCAACAACAACAACAACAACAACAACAACAACAACAACAACAACAACAACAACAACAACAACAACAACAACAACCGAGGAGCGAGACGGTCCCAACTCGATATCCCGGGCCAGCAAGAAACTCATCAAAGAGATGTTGAAGGCTCACTATGACGACGAGCCGCACTTTGAAACGGGTATTCCCGAGTTCCTCGAGGGCCTATTGGGTCAGTCATGGCCGCCTGGCTGGCCTGGAGAAACCACGACCCTCGGCCTAAAAGCCAAACTCTTTACGACAGCAGAGCTTGAAAAGCTAAAATCCTTTCTCCCCGAGCAGTACCTAATATGATTCGTAGGCGGTTTATTCTTTCCACATCTCATCAGTCAAGTCGTTGTGGATGACACTCTCAAGTCTGAAGCTGAGGAGGTTTTGACGGAACGCTGCAGTACCGCCCTCGATACCCTTATCAACCTACACTCGCGGGTCCTGGGAGATGACGAAGCATCGAGGCTGAGCGGCGAGGTCCTGCTCTTCTCAATTGCTCGCGACCGTGAAACCATCAAGATAAGCGGACATTATCCCATCATTGAAGGAGCGGAAACGACATTCCATCGCTATATAGCTAGGGAAGCCCGTCTAGGCCCTCGGGGCATATGGGAGAATTTCATCGCTGGAAAGGAGTGTTATGAATTTGTCAGAAAGGCTAAGGAGGACTTCCTTCCAGCGCATGTGAAGAGAATCAAAGACCTTCTGGCAAAGATGCCAGACCCTCAAGAAGGGTCGGTCACATCAGCTCCGATAAGTGAGCAGGATCAGCCAGAAGGGTCGGTCACGTCGACATTTGAAGAAACTCGAGAGATGGAGAATCGGACGCAGGAAGACGAAGGGCTGGGGCGAAAGCGCCGTCGGATGTTAGAGGAACTTAGAGATCGGAGGACGAGGGTGGAGCAGGTATGCAAGATATTCGAAGACGAGAGGGAGCAGTTGGACCAGGAAATCGAGAGACTCGGAGGATAAGAGAAGTGGGACGCAGGAATACGAAGAGCTGAGGAAAGAGCGAAGATCAGACGGAGAAATGGCATCCGGTATTCGAAGCTCGCCAGGAGAGAGGTGATCAGAAGCTCAGGGGGAGGGGACCTTGACGTTACTGCTAGGTTTTCATGAAAGGTAATATCTTTCAGTGCATTTCAATGGTTATTCGTGGTAACACATCCGCCCTCAGTGAATGCTTCATACCGAGTATGTAGCTCGTATGTGAAGATGGCCTCGTTTCGTTTGACTCTTAGGTCCTCAGGCAAACTCACATCACTGCTCAGCCCAGACGGATGACGTTTTCCCCTTGTCGTCCGCAAGTGTTGATCAGGGTTGTTCACAGGTGGATTCTATGTCACAGAAGAATGAAATGAGGCTGTTGGTGATCAATTTGATGTTGCTGTTGATGGAAGTTGAGTCAGTTAAAAGAGTGGCGGCGGCGAGGACGAGGCGGAGATGGAAAGGTGGAAGGGTTATGTTGCCGATGGAATCAGGATCAGAATGACTAAGATCCATGAAAGTCACGTCATCTGTCTTTTAGTTAGCCAATCGATAAGCGCCGATAAGGACAACCAATCAGAAGACGTGGCTGTTCGTTCACTTTTGCCGGCCGGTCAGCTAACGCTGAGCTGGATAATCTGGCTTCCAGCTTGGGTTCCTGCTTCTCGTCGAGCAAGTCGGGCCTCGGGAAGGATGGCCATAGTACATGGTCCTCCCTAACCAACATCCCCAGCTAGTGCATCAGAGACTACACAGCCAGAACCCACAACACGAGCCCCTTTGAGACAAACACACCGCTCACCACACTCCTGCCGGAAACATGGCCTGCACCACACCACAATTCCCAACGGTCCAAACTCCCACAACCCACAACCCACCTTGCCCGCATACCTTATCCTATAGCCTTCCCAGCCCTTCTCAATAAACGGGGACATATTCCACGAGACAAGAGATGACTGTATACAAGGGAACCAGGGGGCTCAGGTAATCGAGGATAACGAAGAAGAAGAAGAAGAAGAAGAAGAAGAAGAAGAAGAAGAAGAAGAAGAAGAAGAAGAAGAAGAAGAAGAAGAAGAAGAAGAAGAAGAAGAAGAAGAAGAAGAAGAAGAAGAAGAAGAAGAAGAAG